GCATCGCGGCCGTGGATCTGAATTCGTGGCGATGAAGCGAGGAAAAACGCTTTTTCCCGCGGGTGAAATATCGTAATTTCGCGTATTAAAATCCGACCGAAACCGATGGATCTAATTTATAAATTTGTATTACGATTGTATTTTTAATGGATAAGGTAAAGTTGATTAAACATCAGAGAAGCGAACGTCAGATCGTCGTGATGTTTTATATATATATAATCGATATAAATAAATATAATATATAATATATAAATATATAATCGATAAAAAAAAAGAAGAAGAAACTAAATTTGCACACATAAATATTTTAATAAAGCGAAATAAGTTGAGAAAGTTTTGTCACGAAGTAAACTCGAGAATTTTTCGCAATATTCCATATATCTATTCGTTTGTCCATATATATATATATATACACTCACAAAGAAGTAAGGACTTGGATAAACGCAAACATTCGAAACATTCGAATGAAATCACATTTTGATCAGCGAATAGATTAGAATTAATTAATTCGAAAAAGAAAAAGAAAGAAATAAAAAGTTGTAGCTATAAATTTCTATAGTGTAACTATACGTATCCAATTTCTATAAAGGCAGTTTTATTTACAGTTTTATTTTAAAGGAAACACATTTCTCTGAATTAGAATCATAAGCTGTAAATATTTCGAACTCGTAAAAGTCGTAGCTACTTTGTCGTTTAATTTCGAAAACTGTCGGTGAAACAGGTAAAGGCACGTTTTGAAATACGGCGTGATCTCGCGTGAGTACGCGTATCTCTGGGCCCGTAACAACGTTCCAATAAAAATAAAAAAAAAAAAAAACGACAAAGAAGGAACGGAGGGAGAAATTAGTTTTTCATCCCGGTTCATTTACCCGCTTCTAAACGCGCCTCCTTTCTTTCCGCTTCGGGATAATGCCGAGTTATTAAAGTCGCGTTACACACTCGCCAACTTTCATACGTATGCAGGCGGTTTTTTAATGAATACGATTTTTCGAAGATCGCGCGCTCGAAACGGCGATGCGTCTTTGATCGTCGGCTCGAGATAAATTAAAATTAAGCAGAGCTCGGGCTTGCAACGTTTGTGGAGAGCGAGAGAGAAAACAAGAGAGAGAGAGGAGAGAGAGAGAAGGGAGCGCAGGAGCGCATCGCGTTGAATTAATTGAATTCATTGAAATCTGAAGACTTGAATTCATTCAGTATCTCTCTCCCGACCGAGATTGGAATCTCGAGAAACCGCAATTAACGAACGAGTAGACCTTCGTTGTGGCTCGGAATAATTTTCTTAGAAACGAGTTAAGCGTCGAATCGTGGCTACGAGGGATGGAACTCGAACTTCGAAACCGTTGAAAAATGGAGAACAACGTTGACGTTTCTACGAATCGTCGTCGGTGAATTCCAATAGTTAACCCATTCGCGATTGTAGCTCGAGGAAACTCTTCCCAACTGTAAACCATGGTTAAACCGCAACGATTAATTTTTATTTACCGTTTAATAACGGTATGCATTAATTATTATTGATTTTAAAACTCTTTACTCTTCGATATCATCGATCATTTTTTTAAATATTCAGATAGATCGATTTAAATAATGATTGTTACGATACATATATTTGTTGAAGATATATTATATAATTAAATAACAAAGATTCACAGGTACGAATAACTTCAACGATGCAATTTTTCTACTCTACTGACAAACAATATTATTTTGACTTTCAAGCACGGTTGATATAATTTTTCAAAAACTTAATTTCGAGTTTAATCAATTACGAAGCGATGTTTTTAACAACAACATCGCGACATTGTACGATTTTATTTTCTTGACACGTATCAACACGTCATCCGTTAATGCGAATCCGGGTTAAACCGTCGATCCTCTCCTATTTTCCCAGGAAATCACCTATTTCAAGGATGCGCTGGAGACGTGTGTGAGAGAGAGAGAGAAAGAGAGAAAGAGAGAGAGATGGGCGCGCAAGCTCAAATCCTACATTCCTCAAGGCGAAGCTAGAGCGAAACGGACGAGTACAGAATCCATTTAGATAAGTAAACGACTTTGTTAATTAGATTTGTCGAAAGTAAAGCGGAGGTGGGAGTGAGCACAGCTGGGGAAGGTGAAATAATCCCCGGCACACTGAGCGGAAGAGTTGAATCGGCGGGAGGCCGACAAAGAAGCTGCATGCTGCACTTTGACAAAGATTTGCAGGAGAGGAGGGAGGTGAGGGCGTAAAGGACGGAAATGGGGCAGGTGAGGGTGCGGGGCAAGGGGGCGAAGGGCAAACGAGAGAGAAAATTGGGGTGTGCGAAAGCGAGTAAAAGTTTCTCGCGATAATTGTCCGACTTTAAAGCGTCTCGTGATGCTAAATAACGTGCTCGAATCTTGCCTTGTTCTCCTTACTATATCGCTCTATTCTCCTCTGGATCCCGATTTCTTTTCCTCGCGAAAGGAAGAAAAAGATCCTTGACAATGTGGATGATGAATAAATTTCGTTTTAACGTTAATTTAAAATTACACGGTGACGAGATATTTTATATTTATCGCGTTATTTATGTATTTTCGTGAAAAAGTAATCGGATAATAGTAATATTAAATATAATGTTTATGGGAAAAGAGATTTGGAAGATAAAATTGTAACGTTAGATATTTTATATATATTTTTTTTTAATATTAAATGGATAATGTTCGTTAATAACGGATCTTTGTTAATAACGGAGAAAGATAGTATCGACAAATATTTTTTATAGAAAAGGTTAATAAGTGTCATTTTGTAATTACATCGTTCGTTTGCTCTAACCCTTAAAGTAGTAAATAATCAGTGACTTATGAAAGGTAGCGGTTATTTATTATAAGCGTAAGATCTTTGCAATTTGGTATTTTTTTTTCTTTTTTTCATTAAAAGTAGTTAATAAGTGTCAACTCTATTTTATAATTATATCGTTCCTTTTTTTTTTTTTTATTACCAAGTAATCGTGTTGAACAATTCACAAACGGTGATATTACATTATGGAGGACGTGTTTTCATAAAAATATACGTATTATAATGGAACATATTCGTGTTCACCCGGCATAAATTATTTCCAGTGTGTGATTATCAATAGCGCAATGAAATTTTCTTTCGTCCCTTAAACGAAACACGGCCATTTCTCGCACGTAATCGGCGAGGCATGCAAGCGTTCGCCGAAACGCGATAGCAATTAAAGTGTTAATTACTCTGACGAAGCTGAATTGGCAGAAACTGGTGGGTGGTGAGAGGGTGGAAGGAAGTAAGACAAAGGGTTGCGACGCGTTTGGACAAAGATTCAAAGAGAAAGAGAAAGGAAGGAGGTGGGGCATGGCTAGGAAAGGGCGCAGGCGGTGAAACTTTTACGCGATAATTGTCTCGGTTGAAAATACTTTTCGGTCGTTACCTTTCTTGCCACTTGCAGGAAGGCTTGACCCTTCCGTCTTTCAACGCGTCCTCCTCGCGATGCACCCTTGCATTTTTCCGCTTTAGGTAATTCCGCTTTGTCTGTACCGAAATGCGATTATCAACGAGCATAAAAATGCTTGACCAACGCGAATACAGAGGCATCTTAATAAACACATCTTAATAAACAATAACACCTCGAGGATTAAAACCTCGAATATAAATATAAACTTCGTATCTTTATTTCATCGATCAACTTTCATATAAATCAAAGAGAAATTAGAGAAGCGATTAATTAAAGTCTTCTCCAAAAAGCTCGATCGAGATAAATATGTTGTAGATACGTGTTGGTGAGGCAACAGCAATCCATAGACCACCTACGGCCTTACGCCGTAATTTAGAGAGAAAGGAGAGACACAGAATCTGTTAGCGTGGCACAACGAAACTTAGGAAGAAGGTTTCCGCGAAACTGTGGTCCGCAGGGGAGCCGCGCGAACAAAGAGTCGCGTCTCCTGAGCCGAAAGAAGGCTCGGCCTGCCGGTGTCCGACGAAAGGAAACGCTGTGCGCCGTAACCGACGGATAACGATCGTGGGGATCGTGGATCTAGTACCGATTCATGGTCTCTCTCTCTGTCTCTCATTCTATGCGAACAGAGCCATAGGTATGCCCGTTTACGCATACATTTGCCGGACGCGAGATTCCAGCTCTGTGGAAGTAGCTGCCCCTGCAGTTAAGACCTCAGGGTATCAGGTTTCCCCGATTGTATCATCAAACGGTCCCTGCTCGGTTTCTTCGTCATCTTGCGCGGCGAGGCAACCAGCTCGGTTATTTCCAGCCTCCTCCTGCGCTCGCCCTCCCTTTCTCTCGTCCCTATGATTCCCTCCTCGCTCGTGGCCGGCGGCGGCGACGCCGGCGTCGCGCTTTCGAGAAACAAGCTTAATCCGTAAGGACATCTCTCGCGATAGAGGGGTCAACGCCAGCTGCACGCCCTGGGTGACGGTTTGCTCGTTCCGCCGTCTGCTTAGACCGCTGATCACTGCACATGGCGAGAGTCGGCGTTGGATGGCGTTGATCGCTGATTACGCTATTGATGATGAATGGCGTCGTGGTTGAGACGGTAATTCGCTACGAAGCGAATTGTTACGCGTGTCGTCCTCGTCTTTTTCTTGTTTCGCGCGAGGAGTGAGGAAGCTTAACGCATAATAATTTTTCTTTTTTTTTTTTTCTTTTTTTAAGGAGACAACGAGTATAGCTTTGCGACTTAAGCGGTGATGGCCTAACGGTGTTCTTACGCCCTTTCTTTCTACGAACTGGCTCGATTTACGCGTATTAAATATAGAGGCTTTTAAAAGAGAATCCGTGAGTACGATGCTTAATGCGGTGAATATTTATGCGCCCTCGGTTAAAATTCGTTTATACTTTTATTTTTCAGCGCCACGAGAGGGAAAGAAGGGGAAGAAGGGGAGAGGAGAGTGGAAGGACGCGCACGCAATCCGAGACAATATCCCGTTTTGGCTAAGAGGATCGCCATCTCGGCAGTGGCAGTTTTAATAAATTTCGCCGATTTCCAAGCGGCGAAATCTACGCTCACCGCAATGCAACGTCGTGGATTGCGACTATCTACGAGTAAACGGACAGAATACCCGTACTTTCGGTTTATTATACTTCGTTACCACCTCACGATTTTGTAAAACGTTTTAATATCATCGATGTTCTATATGTTTGTAACAAACTTTTATGTTTCAAAAAATAAATAAAAATTTAAAAAATTTAAAAATAATTTTATTGATTTCCACATCCCTCCTATCCTATCTCAAATCGTTGATCATTTATATATTTCAAAAACACAAATCAAAGTTTTCATCAAAATTTTTAACAATTTTTTCAATCAAAATAAAAACCAGGAGAAATTAATCGAATAAAAAAGGAAAACTGTGTACTGTCGATATCGAAACGAGTTAACGAGACAATTAATTGAAAATTAAATAAGGCCGATAATAGAAAATCAACGATGTAGCGCATTCATAACGAGCTTATCGCAGAGTTAGCCGAGGTTTCGCGGTAGCTGTTTTTTCGAATCATGTAATGGATATCCCAACCCTGATTGATGATCTATTACCGCGAAAATAGGTCAACTATATCTGCTGGCCTCGGGCCATGCATGACGTACATCCTGAATTTCAAGCTAATTCTGTTGGCTGCTTTAATTACTGTCGGGCTTCGAAACGTGGCAGATCAAAGCGACACATCAGCTGCAAAGATTTGCAATCGCGAGGAAAATGCAACCTTTGGAATATTGGTTTGGGAATATGGTAAGTCCTATCTCTCGTGAAGTCTTCGTTGGCGAGAAACTTTAAGAATTCGGTCTCTGTTAAAAATTTTCAGTGCCACTTCTTTGCCTATCA